CCGGTTGCAATACTTTCCTTACCTAGTATAGGTAGGAAAATAATAAATTAAAACATGTGTAAAAAATAGAATAAGCTGTATCATCGCTAATACCGGTTCGATCCCCATGATTTTCTTTTTTTTTTTTTGTCGGTAATTTAATTACCTTTCAAAAGTGTTATTATAATTTTTACCGTATAATATATACTTAAGGAGTTAGGTCCCATAGCATTTTTCTTTTCTTCATAACTTTTTTTCCTGAATTTTTTCGGGAATTTAGTCCATATACGAAAATTGAAAGGACAATTATTAGAACAATATAGCAAAGTTTCATCAAAATCATTAGAGCCGTTTTTACGCTACAGTCTATAGAAAAACATGTTTTTAATTATTTGCGCATTGAGCACCGAATCTGTCACAGGCATCAGTAGTCAAAATTCTACAAAATAAAAAAAGAAGCAACAAAATCGGTTCAGTAGTTCTCGAGAAAATCTTGGCACAGACAGACAGACATCAGACAGAGAGACCATTGGTTAAAAATGTGTTTTTCGGACTCAAGGGGCTCTGAAACGTATAGATCCGTCGAAAACCGTATATCGGAAATTTTACCGAAAAATTTTTTTTCTATTCCTTTTTAAATTTTACTGATTTTTAATTTAAAAATACAACCGTTAATGCCATAATTTATAAAAATAGTCAACCTAATTGCAGTTTAAATTGGGCTGATGTTACAAAGGGATCAGGAAATTAAGATGAAACAAATCCCTTTAGGACGAGTATGAACAAGGACAAAGGGTTGTTGAGCTAATTTAGGTCCTTTCTGGGGACTAATTGCTCAAATGCCGGGGCCCTTGCCACGTCATGTGACTGTTAATTGCTTGTCATGAGTGGATATGAGCCGGAAGGAGGAGCTCGAGTGGTCTATCTAGTCTTGTCTCTGTACAATATTGATGGGTAATATAGTGCTTGCAACTAAATAATTAAAGTATCACAAAGAATATCTCAGTCCTTAATAGCCAAATTGTGGGGGGAGGAATGATTCTAGCCAAAATTTCCAACAAAAAAGTTCATTTGATGCATGGGTCGATTCCGCACGGATAAAGAGCTAAAACCCAATTTGTTTTTTCTTAAGTGTAAATAACATGTTAAAAGGTTGTTTTTTTTTTTTTATTGATGATATTTACAACTGTATTACAAGTAAAAATACATTCAGTAAATGTGTAAAATTTAATATAACAACATGAAATCACTTGTTGGGAAACTACAGGTCAGAAACATGAGGAACATTAAGGTCGTTATGGATGATTTTGTTTGTGACAAAGTAAGGAGCTGTGAGGATTTTACGAAGGATTTTGGATTGTAAGGATTAGATACGAGAGGAATTCGATGGCTTAGTAGAGCCCCAGAGCTCAACTCAGTAAGTCCAAATAGGTCTTATTGTAGTCATGTATATGAGTCTTTTGTAATTGACTGGGAGCATAGAGCGTTTGTCGTTAAAAGGTTAATTTTAAATATTCCTTTTGACGGGAATTGTGAATATTCCTCCGCTTATCGGGGAACTAGGTTATTTTCACGAGTGAATATTAAAACAAAGCACTGGATATAGAATTTTTGAGGGTGTTTAGCTGTTGTTGGGAATTCGGGAACCTAATACTTTTATGACACTGAGTGAGGAAAAATAATAAGAATATAACTTAGAACTGTATAAAGGAAGGAGATTCACTTAGGAGTTTCCCTTAGAACTGAGTGTGCATTCAGAGTTCTAAGTGATTCTCCTAGATGAACACACCTCCCTGATGAAGACCTACAAAGTCGGGTCGAAACGTCGGCTTTCAATAAAATAGTTTTACCACTATTTAGCCTATTTATGACCGCAACCCCGGACCATCTCCTTCCTCTAATAAGAATATAAATATGAAATGTAATACTTAGTAAATACACTTTGAATGAATTGACTCACCTGGTTTATTATTCTTAATTGTGAGGCTTATAGAACAACTAAATAAATAAATGAATTTTCACTCCTGTAGAACAAAACAATTTATTTTACAACTGTAATAAGTGAATATATTAAAATCTTATAACTGTTGGCTTAATATTCTTGGTCTTCAATGTAGTAGGTTTCTCCTTTCAGCTAACGTCGTTCCGCCTCAATGTTCCTGCCTCATGTGCCTTCTCTTCTCTCCAGCGTCCTTCTCCAGCTGTTGCTACCTGCTCCGTCCTTTTCTTTCTTTCTTCTTCATCGATTTTCTATCGATATGAGACTTTTCAATGAATAATTTGTCCACTTCATAATTGAGTACTATTCATCGTGCAACCTCACATTGCTATATATTCCTTCTCATTCCCTCACATAAAGGAGTAAATACAGGGGGCTATCTACTACATAAGGAAGAAACATTTTTTTATTGAATAAGGAGGTAATTGAAAACTGATCAAGATAATTAAATTCTAATTACACCGTCGTAAAGAAGACATATTTTTATTGAGAAAAAATTAATTAAATTTATTAAAGTCAATGATAAACAGGACTTTAATTTTACTAAGGTCAACGATAAAAGGTCGTTAAATTTAATAATTTAATTTACTAATTCTACTGCTGCAGTTACAATATTCGTACACGAGCAGCATATTGTACAACGTCCGTATTAGACTCCCTGAAAGTTCCTTTTATTATTGACGTTAGTAAATTTAAGTTTTCTCAACAAAAAAAAATCTATTTTACGATCATACCTCGTCTAGATCTCATTTGAAAATGATTCGGCTGAAAATTTATTGTTTAATTGAATAACCGGAAGCCTGAATAAAATAATAGCTTTTTTCAAATTTTTAAAAATTTTAATTGATAAAGTAATATTTAGGCTTGGAAATATTATTGAAACTTTATTATTTAACTGAATAACTGAATTCCTTGATGAGCTAATACCTTCAGAAGAATGTTCAGCTTTATAAAAAAATTATAATTGATAAAATAAAATTTAAAATAGAAAGCATTGATGATCTGCATAAGACAGCCAAAGGCAAATTGATAAAATTTTATATAATTCAAGAGTTAAAGTTGGTTTTAGGTAATCGTTTATCTAACTCCACTTGAACGTTCCGGAAAAAAAATGAAACTTTTATGAAACTCAATGAAAAAGGACTCCTTTCGGCCAATTTGATGTTTCTGCTAATCTCATACATTGGTGGGGAAATGCGTTAAGGTATCGGTTGACCATCGAGTAAGTAAACTTGGTAACGGACTGTTACAATTTACAATAACGTTATTGTTTTATAGGTTTAAACAAAATAGATTTAAATGAGTCATTTTTCATCGAATTTCACAAAAGCATTCTTTTTAGATGGAACGTTCAAGTGTAGTTAGAGGAACAAGTATGAGTACTACCCTTAATCTTGAATGGAACATAAATAAAATCAATTCGCCTTTTGAAATGTTAAGAGGAACATTAATAGTTTCAAACCTAAATTTTATTTTATCAATTTTCTTCTTTTTTATTAAAGCTGAAACTGAGTATTTTGAAAGTATTAAGTAGTTCTCTTAATGCTTTCGGTTATAAAGTTAAACAATATATTTTCAACCAATTAATGCCAAAATGAGATCAAAACGACGTGACGTCATACAAATCCACCATTTACTCTAATTAGTCGTACAACTTGTAAAAAGTTTAGTACAGTATTTTAAAATGGGTGAATAATATTCAGGACGCAGTTTTTTTTTTTTTTTTTTTTTTAATTTTTATTTATGCCAACTCGAATGGAGTACTTGAACACACTCTGTGCTCAAACCACGCTCTGAAAATGACCCACATGTTTGGATTGAAGCATTAGCATAATTCTTTTTTTTTTTTTTTTTTTTTTTTGTCCTTTCCTTCCTCACCGTTAAGGCTATACGGGATTTTCTCGAGCCAGAGGGTGTGAGCGGAGATTTAAAAGACTCGCCCGGCACCGGGACGCGAACTCGTGTCTATTTTTATATTTTTGATTCATTTATCAGGTTGCCGGGCAACGGCGGTACAGTGCACACGTGTTAGCCCATTCGGCCACCCCACCCACGCATTAGCATAAATAAAAAAATAATAAAAAAAAAACTGCGCCCTGAATATTTTTCACCCATATGTAGAACAGTCGACTAACTTCCTTCAACACAGTATTTTAAATTTTTTTTTTCAAATCTTGCATTTTTGAGTTGTCGCCTTTCTGGGTGTGATACATCCGAGACGTCAACAGATTTCTAAGTATTTCGAGATCCAATTTGTAGACAGACAGGAACTGCTTTTATTTGGTTCCAAGAAGAACTTGAAACTTTCCTAGCTATCTTTAAACAATTGTGGTAAATCCATGTTAAGTTTAAAACCTGATAAAATTCGAAATGGGCACGTATGTGCTCGGGAGGGAGAGGGGAGTATAGATCGGAAAAAAACCTAGAGCATGGAACGGTTATGGTCTCGGATTCGTGGAAAATCCACTAGATGGCGATCTATTAGATAGGCAGCCTTTACCAGAACGACCCATGAGCCTTCCCATTGCATAAAGATTCTACAAGGGGGATTGGAAACGCCAAGCCATTCTATAGTTTTTCCAATCATCCTCTAACATGGCAAAGTACTGGTCTCCTAAATTACCAAATTTAGAAGGATTTAAAATAGAATAGAATAGAATAGAAACTTTAGTCTGGGAATAGGTTTCTTAAAAGTAACAAATATGTACAATTAAGCAAAAATATTACTTGCCAAAAAACTTCAGATAATACCTGGATATATTCACAAAATTAAAAATATATAGACAAATAAAATATATTTTGAGAATTCAAATAATCGTCTTGAGACAAAAAAGGATACGAAGGAATGAAATGAAAGAGAAACAAAGTAAAAAATTAAAGCTATGAATTGATTCCGGAATTAAAACTTAAATGTTAAAAAAATTAAGTACTTCAAATCAACAATTTATTATTAAATTAAATTTTCAAAATTGGAAAGTGTCTGTTTGGGAAGTGAGAAGGAAGTGGAAGAGGATAGATTAGAATGAAGAAAGCGAAAGGAACATGGTGGATATTAGATAGTATCGGATACAAGAAAGAAGTAGAGCAAGTAAGAAAGGAACGTTCGGAGGTTTCAGTTTTGTGGGAAGTTGTATAGAGGTCTAAAATAAGAGATATTTTTTTCTTACAATGGACTTTTTCAAGGGCACTCGATGTTCTTATATATGGTGTCTTCTAGGAAAATATAACCCCTTATACTTTAAGGATTTATTCAACATTAAACGAAGTTTCCAGCTAATTTGTTCATTCTCAAGTCATCTACAACAACAAAAAACAAACATAATTGACAAAAATGATCACTCTGTGGGCGGGGCGGCCGAACGGGCTAACGTGTGTGCACAGCACCGGCGTTGCCTGGCAACCTGATATGTGAGACAATGGATTTAAAATAGTCACGAGCTCACGTCCCGGTGCCGGGGGTCTTTTCAATCCCCATCCACACCCCCTGGTCCGGGAAAACCCCGTATAGCCTTAAAGGCGAAAAAGGAGAGGACTCAACAACAAAAAAAAATAATAATAAAAAGTTGATCACTCGTTATCTAGCCACACAAAAAGTCCTTCAAGTCCGGTCCAGAAATGAATAATTAATGAAATTAATATTGAAATATGTTTTCATAGATAAAAAGTTTTGGTTTGAATTTTTGGTAAGTTCTCACTTTTTATACGACTACATAATGAATAATTATTGTTGATTGTAGCTGGCTTGAGAATGAGCAAATGAGCTCGAAACGTCATTGAATGTTGAATAAATCTTTAAAGTATAAGGACTTAAATATGCCTTGAAGCCACCATTTATAAAAAAATTGTTGTTTTTTATTTATTATTATTTTGTTTCTTTATATTAATATTAATATTAAAGGCTACGTGTAATTCTTTTTTAATTCATATTTTTTTATTATTTATTTGTTGATGTTAATCTGAGACTCTTAAGGCCACAATCGTGTTTATGTATTTTGTTCATTTTAAAAAAGCTAAGGTAAGAAACATACTACTTCCTCATTGTACGTTTGACTGTTACTTCCAGTTAGTTATTTGTTTATTTATATTTATTTTTAAAGTTATATTCTTTATCAGAAATGAATGCGATTCAATACTCCGAATGTTGAAAGGTAGAAGGTAAATTGAGAAGGATGTTCATAACCTCCTTGGTTCCTAACACCCTTCTCCCGCACTCCCGACCTTTTGCCGGCGCACCTGTTACAATACTTCCGCAAAAGTTGAAGGGAGTATTCTCAGATCTGTTATACTACATTTATATATATATATATATATATATATATATATATATATATATATATATATATATTTTTTTTTTTTTTTTTTCCCTTTACACTACAAGTAATCCTGAGATTTTATTTTTATTTCTCTTAGTATTTGCACATTATTCTATAAATCACTGTAGATATTATTACATTTTGTATTAAGTTATTTTTTTAATTAGTTAGCCAATTGTTTATAAATTGTGTAGTTATGTATATATATATATCTTTTTATTAGATCAAAATAATAAGTAATTTTCAGAAGATCTTATGTTCATTTAATTTTTTTTCTGTTTATTTTTTATTGGTTACATACTATTTATTAAATAATGTATATAATATTAAAATTTTTATAAGTTAGTTTTTGGCAAGATTTGTATTTTCTTTTATATTAATTCATCATTTTTATTCTAAGGGGACTCAGCCCCAGAATAAAGTTCAATTTTCTATTCTATTCTATATATAAAGCTTCATTACACATTTAACAGAGATATCATTATTTTTCGCGATGAGTGATAAACATTTTTTAATGTCTAATATATTTTTGTTTCTATATACAATTATTTTTTTGTCTGTTTGATTTGTTTATTTAGTAAATAGGAATGCTTTTCGGATTAATTTAAGTTCAAAAAGAAAAAAAATATTCTTCCTTCTGATTTCCAAATAAATATTGAAAAAATTACCAGTAACATAGTATAGTTTATGAATAAGTTATATAATATAAAAAAATAAATAAACAAAATTTAAATACCTAAATATAAATGTTCAACTTCGAGGACCTCAAGAAATCACGAAACTCTCTTATCTATAGTTTATTTCAACCTCATCGAGATAAATCCTAGCAACATTTTTTTTTTTTAATTTATTTATACGGTATTTACAACTGCACACAAAAAATACATCTAGTAAATCCGTACATGGATATAATGACATAAATCACATGTTGAGAAACTACCCATTGGTAGCATTCTAATAATATGTCTATATTAGGAGATCACGTGGCTATCTTCTTTTCAGACGCCTCGGAGGGTTATCAGGAATTGAATAAGAAGCAAGGTTAGAAACAAGAGGGTTGGGGTGGTTATGAAGTTTATTATGGGAGGACAGATATCTGAATTGGGCCAAATCTGATACATAAGGAACATTAAGGTCATTATGGATGATTGTATTTGTAACAAACTAAGGAGCATTGAGGATTTTACGAAGGATTTTGGATTGTAAGGATAGGATTCGAGAGGAATTTGAAGGTTTGGTGGAGCCCCATTGCTCAACTCCGTAAGTCCAAATAGGCCTTATTATAGTCATGTAAATGAGTCTTTTGTAATTAAGTGGAAGGTTAGAGCGTTTGTCTAGTAAGTGTTGAAGTAGTCGGAAACGTCGAGCTGTTTCTTGTCGTTTCAGTCTGGTATGAGGATTCCAAGTTAGACGTTTGTCCAGATGGAGTCCTAGGAGTAACGTTTTTAAACTTAATGACTATTTTTACAAAACTGACATCTATAATTTATATAGCATTTTGTTTTTTAATTATTGTTTCAGATCGACTTAAAACATATAAATCAGAAAGTGAACGAAGATCACGTCGAGATCGGTATCGATTTGAGGGAGTACTACCCTTCGGTGGAGTGGGATATTCTTGGTGTGCCTGCTGAGAGACACACCAAATATTATCCTTGCTGTCATGAGCCTTATCCTGGTAATTATCATATAGATATAATTTAATATATAATTGGTATAGCAACGTTTCTGGTTATTCGTTTTTCTAAAGCAGTTGAGAGTTCCAGAAACTGAATATATGTGTATTTAATAGATCAGTGATATATATATTTTTTATTTTTAATGGTTCTCGAAGGAATGAATGAATGATTTTTTATTGAGTATTTATACAGTAACAAACAACAAAAGTATCCAAGCTCAATAAAAAAATATTTACGGCTTGGTTCTTGAAACCATCAGCCGAAGGATGGCCTTGGAAAAACAAGTATTATTGATACAATAATATAAACTAAAATCTACTATGTTAGTGTTAATAGATACAATGTAAATACTAATAAATACAGAAACAAAATATATTAAATCTTAATATCACAATTATAAATACACAATAAAATTTTAATATATAAATACATAAAAGTTTTTAATATAGATATTTTAATACATTACATAAATAATTTTTTCGGTTTAAATATTATTCATAAATTAATAATTAAATTCTTAGCATAATACATACTTTATTGCCAGGCTGCTTTAGAATAATAGGATAGATGTAAACATCTTTTTCGAAATAAGTTCCGCCAAAACAGGTCGTACACCAAGGAAAAGCACGATATTTTCTATTTCATTCATATTGCAAAATGCACATAATTAATTATTTGTTTCGTAATATACCCTACAGTTTAATTTTATTAGTTCTCCACTGGCCTTAAATATCCATTTTGTTATTGTTTCATTGTATTTCTTATTGAAATAATTGCTTTCTGATATATCATAATTCACGTCTTATATATTAGTTTTTCTGTTGTTAGTTTAGTCTTATATATTCGAATTTTTAGTTAGGGTTTTGAACTTATTTTCTAATTCTATTGTCAATTTATCTCTTACTCTCTGAAAAGGCACATACCATTTGTTTATGTTATTATAATCAAAATTTCTTTAGTATTGATTTGTTAAACGTTTTACCTCTTTATATGGGAGCGGGGTAGCTCAGTGGTAGGGCACTGAGCTTCCAATGCAAAGGTCCCGAGTTCGAACCCCGGCTCATGGCAGAAAATTTATTTATCTGTATCATTGGCCGTGGGGCGATCTTGGGTCAGAAAGTCCCTCCTGGGGCACACCCAGGCTCTATAAAGTGGGTACCCTTAATTAAATAATTAATTAAGGGGGAAAACCTGGCGGTTGAGCGTGATCTCGGTCAAATCACCTCTTTGCACAACCGTTGACCTGGAAACAGTGCTTTCCCTAAATAGTACTGAACCCCAGACCCTTCATGGGTTGTAGTGGTACAGGTTTTTTTACCTCTTTATATGCATATGTACACACAAAGATACTAAGAAAAATATAAATATATATCTTTAAAAAATTAATAAAAGTACGAATAAAAATATATATATCTACAAAATATAATAACGATAAACACAGATATATACAATAAAATACTGAGATATAAAAAATTAATAAATAAAAATAAAATGACTTCAATCAATTAAGTGCTGGTGGCCAACGTAATTATATAACCCAGAAATTTTGACAAGCATACGGAATTTTAAATTTGTAGTAGGTGGTGGAATAGCAGTTGTTTGAAGGAGTTTATGGATGTGGTTTGACGTATGGAGATGGGTAAGGAGTTCCATAAGGAGGTAGCAGGAATGACGAAGGATTTACTGAAGGAAGTGGTTTTATGGGATGGGATATATAAATTTATAGGTTGAGATCTATAATATACTTCTATACTCTTAGTGAGGTAATTACAAACCTAAGCATTAATGCAAGAAACAAATAGGTCTTGAGCGATAATGGATAACATATGTTCACGAATTGCTGTGTCTTATTGCTTAACTATCAAACTGAAGGGATATTTTCCAGTAGGACAAACTAACCTCTTAACAAATAAATTGTTGTTTTAAATTTTCTGTATCGAATAGACTATATTGATAATATTGTATTTTATATATGAATAAAGATGTTTCACTGATGTCTCTTTACGTCGAATGCTTTAGGGATTGCTATGTAATGTGAAAGTTTTCACTGGGGTAGGCTATTTATTTTTAAATTTAGTTAACGTTATTTTCGGATGCGAAATGCGTGAGTATTGGGGATAATGGAGGGGATGGAGAGGGGGAAATAGCCGGAAAGAGGGGAGAAAGTCTCCCGAACTATTTTTGTTACAATCTACAACCCGGTAGAAATTACCATTCTAATGACGTATTCCTGCTTAATTAAATAAAGTTGAGTAGAAGTAATCCCCCTGTTTTAAAGGACTTAAAACTTCTCGGAATTCAAATTTCTCGAATGTTTTTCAATAACTTCGAAAATATTTTAAGAGATAATATACTGTTTAAAATTTTAAAACTTTTTGAATTAGAAAACTTGGCTCGATTCAAAGCCTGAGTCAGTACTCCTCTTGAACTCCATAATAAAACTTTCTGGCAAACGTTTCACAAGTTTTTAATTAGTGTTTGATTAGCATTCGTATCCTTGACTGGCAATAGAGTTATTTGTCGGTTATCTATCAATAAATATAATTCAAGGTCGTTTTATAGGTTTTCATTTTATTAATGTGAATAGAGCAATCTATCATAAAGCAGATGGAGGAAAAGTGATATTTTATTTTGAATAAAATATATTAAGCATTTAAAAAAAAAAAAAGATAAAATTAAATAGTAAAGAATTATAAAATAAAAGAATTTTCAATTATGTAGGGCTATGTTATAAAACAAAAAACATTCATTATAACTTTTTACTGATGCATAATTGTAAAAATAATTAGCGTTAAAGATAAGTGGTGGGGTTGAGGTACGTCACGAGAGTAGAGATTCGGCTATACCATGACGTTCCAGCGGTGCTTGACTCATGTCGTTAGATATATTCTATCTTTTAGTTTAAAATAGTGTTTTCAGCTTCAAAAGTTTCAGCCAAGAAACATCTTTCTATTTTTCTCTCACTCTGTCGTCTCAGAATAACAGCATTTAGTTTAAAATATATCACATAATCATACATAAATACATGTTTACACTAGCGGATCCAGGATTTAATTTTGGGGAGCCTTCAGCCTGAAAGCTTTTTTTTTTCATATATATATATATATATATATATATATATATATATATATATATATATATATATATAACGATAATTAATTGGGAAAAAAAAGAAAGAAACGTAACTACCTATATGACATCGTGTTTAAGTGATCCTTGTAGTCCTATTAAATGATTTTAAACAAACCAAACGGCTGAATATTTTTGAAGAATTCACGAAGTTTCAGACGAATGTTAACAATTTGATAAAAAGGGGTCTGTACCACGGACTAGCCCCCCCCCCTTATCGCTGAGTAGAAATATTTAGTTTGAAATTTATTTTACTACCTTTCATAAATGCATATTTATAAAGGTAGTCAAATTTACAGACTCTGCCAAAGAAATTGTATCACCCAATAAAAATTTTATTTTATTTTCAAGATTGCTACTGCATAAGATCTCTGGATATTTCGTTGCCATTTTCGAAAGTGTTCTAAAAACAATCGCACTATTAAGCTGTACATTTTTTTTTTCTTCTCCCATTTTCTTTCGCTCCATGGTTATTATATATATATATTTTTTTTTTTCAAAACTAAGATTACCTTTGATTGTGGTACCCTATCCTCGTTACTATTTCCCGTGAAAATTCCTTTACTTCATATAACGTTACAATTTTAATGTTTTTTGATAATTACATAATTACTACTTTTATTCTGGCACTCTTGTAATCTTAATAAATAAATAAAAACAAAAAATTTTAATGAATCAACGTTATCACAACATTAGAATCAAAAGACATAGGTGATGCAATTTGTATGTTTATATATTCTATGCATGTATATGCTTATTATTTATTCACGCTGTGATGATCAAGAGTATAATTATCCAATCCTTGATTAGTCTAATACGACCCCAGTGTTATAATAGCAGATAAGCTTGCTTGCCTTGGCAGCAACAGTCAAAGTGGGAAGAAACCTGAGGTAGTATTTTTATAGTCTTATCTTGCGATGGATTTTCTAGATGTTTGGGAACTATGAGTATTCTTTGATATGCGTTGGATAATGGAGGTCAAATAATGAAGTAACCGTTGTCTTTTAACGTAAGTTAACAGCGGTTACAATTTAAAATGTTTGGATAATTACTGAAGGAGCAATCTATCTGAACTTTCTGATAGGGCTGAAGGTATTTCTATAATGTCGAGGCTGGTGCAAGTAACAGCTTCGATAAACTTAAGAGAGAAGACTAATGATGAAAGTTTCCTCAAGTTTTATTCTCACTTTGCCGTCGAGGATAAAATTATTTTTCTTCAACTAGGTCTCTCCTACCCCCTTATTAAAACACCCCTCTCTATTGGTTCGCAATATTCCAACTTTAGGGACGGCCTTAATTAATAGCTAATAATAGATAGAAATATTATTTTATATCATAGCACTTTTTTTCAATAAAGGTAGCTGAAAGGAGTTCTTTTTCATTGAGTTTCATAAAAATATTCCTTTTTACTGCTTGAACCATCCTGGTGAGTAAAGCCCTCATACACACAGAGTGCGGTATGACACGGCGATACGATATTCTTGGCAATATAGGGATATAAATGAATGAAATGAAAAATGAAATGAAAAAAAAATTTTATTCTGGGACTACTGTCCCGTAAGAATAATAACAGAGTTACAAATTTATGTATCTTAGTCTGACATAATAAAAATACAATTGTTATTTCAATTGTGCAATGGATTGAAATTAAACATTGTACAGGTGCAAGTAATTTTACAAGTTAGGAGAAGTTTGAATGTGGAGTAGATGTTGGAACAGGAGTTGTTTGAAGGAATTTGTGTACGAGGATTGACGCATGGAGGTAGGAAGTGAGTTCCATAAAGAAGCAACACGAATGACGAAGGACTTGCTGAAGGAGGAAGTTTTATTCGAGGGAATATATAAGTCTATAGGTCTCAACCTAGTATTGAGAGAGTGGATAGAGGAGCGCAGAGTAAGGAGTTCCAGGATGTAAGGAGGGTTTTTGATTCTGAAGACTTAGAAAAGGAAAACACCAAGGATATAATAGTATATACGAAATAGTAGTATTACTATCTATTGCACTATAGCAGACCCAAAGAGCGCTAAAATTAGCGGCGATGCCGAAAAAGAGTATTTTGTCGCCGTGACATTCTAAATTATATATGTAAATAGAGGAACGACTATGCATATAATCCTTGATCCTCAGGTCCCAACAATTTTTAAAAAATAATCTCCTTTTCTATATCATTTTATTTGAACGTTTGGGGGATGGTATGTGCCTGTCTTCAATATTCAATATGTCCCAGTATTTTAGGGTAAGTCCAACTTATAACACCACTTTCTTCGGAATCTCAAGAGATACCCAGATTACCCAGAGTTAAAGTGGTTGTATCCATCCTACCGCCGCACAGTGGAATAAGTTAGGGAAAACTCGGTTAAATCAATTTTTTTTTAATTGAATATTTAAAATAAATGTCCTGGAAACTCCACCAAAACACAAGGTATCAATAAAACAGTTTATCTAGTTTTTGGAGTTCTAAAAAAAAAAAGATTTAGACAGATTCAAATAGATGTCGCAAGTTTCCTCTTACTCGTTCCACTGTGCACCGTCAGTACTACCTTGCTACCTATCTGTACCAGGTCATTAGATGTCAGCGACTAACTCTATTCTTCAGAACCTACAATTTAAATCCTCCATTCAATTCCGTCCAACCAGATCCCGTTCTCCCGACCTCTACCCTCCTCCTCACCGAACTGCTGCGTTTGACTAATCCTTTGTAATTCAAGCCGTCTCCTTTTGAAATTCTATCCCTCACGATATCCGGCATGCACAATCAATTTCCTCATTTAAGTACCTCCTTTTTAAGCACCTACTCCTTTCTCGACCCGATTAATCACGGAATGTTATGTACCAGAGATACATATGGAAATGTATGCCACCAAATTGTACATAAGAGAACTTCTTAAGTTCCCCTAGAAACTATGTTGTTTTATTTAGTAATTAACCCATGAATATGGGGCTACAACTCCATCAACTTCATAACGCTGAAAAGTTAGGATTCAAACAAGTAATTTTTAACGATTTTTAATGGAACTAATGAATAATATTTCACGTTATAATGTGATTAATATTACTAAATTAAAATGAGAAAATGTATCTTCCAGTATTGGAATGTCTAAATATATATTGTAAAAAGTTAAATAAATAAATAAAAAATGTATGATAAGGACAGAATGTTTTACAAGAATAAGAGAAGGATCCACTTTAATAAGGAAAACAGCAAGGAATCGTTTTTCAAAAGGACGAGATCCTATTGCAATCTTCCACTCTTTAAATAAGTGTTTTGTTTTTTTCCATTTAAACTACGTGAGTTCTTCTCTGGCTGACGGTCGCAGACAGAAGTAGAACTCAGTGGCTTGGAAAATGCAACGGAGGGAGGTAAAATTCCATTCCTTATTATTTTTTTTCTTCTTGTTTCTGTCTACAAAATACAACGTGCCTCAATGTAAGAAGTGGTTTAGATATTTTATATACTCTTCTTTCCTTTTTTTTATTGGTCTTTGATAAATGTTCTGAAAATGTATTTATTGATTAATATTGGATTGGCAAATGAACCCTTCTGGTTTTTCTGTTTATTTTCATGTCACTACCATACACTTCTTATCTGACGAATAAATCTCTAACATGAATTTTTTTACTCTATTTCTAAAATTTCAAAAAGCAGCAATAGTGGAAATAAAAATAGCACATGTAATATAGGACAAACAAAACAGAACTTAAAAAATAGAATTAACCAACCTAAAAATAATTTTAATTATAAAATAAAAAAATATAGCACCAGCACTGTACCATCAACATACAGCACACCACAAAAGCACAATTTTGATTTTAACAACACTAAAATAAGTGAAAAAATAGCTTCAAAAGAAAAGTTTTAGAGTCCATTTACATTTCCAAAATTTAGACACAGTGTGTAATTTCCAAGCAGATACAAAATGACTAAACAGCACATATGCCAATATAATCACAAAATTTTAATTACTCAAATGCTTTAATAATAATCCTTACTTAATAAGTGAGCAGTATAAACATATATATATAACAATGTGCAACCTCCCAACCACACTTATAATTTAATCTGACTTTAATCTGACTACATGCAAAAAGCATGGTTGGATAATGTAAGGCTGTTTTAAAATCTAAAATAATTTATGTATGTTGATCTTACCTTGATATTTCTGTATTTGAATAAAAAAGCAACCTCATTCTATCTAGTGGTACTGTAAATTTACAAATTAATTGGTAGTGTTAATTACAAAATTTAAAAAGTTGACTAAATCTAATTAGAGTTATCATTTATAGAATATTAAATTAAATAGGACTAATACCAGCTTCATAGAGTATAGAATTACATCAAAATATAAAATTAATGGTGTTTATCTTATAGATGGCTTATCAGCCGAAACATAGCTCTGTTTTTGAAATAAATATGGTGAAGAAATAAACACTGCCATATTTCATAATATTAGAAAATTTTAAATAAAAACACGCGCATGTGGAATTTCAAGAAGCATTTCTGTGAATTCTTGATAAAATTAGTATTATTTTTCTTTTTTTTGTTATTATACTGCGTATATGGAAAAAATATCATTCATTAGCGGCTTACTGTGTGATATTATTTATAAAAAGATAAACGCTCTGCGTAAGCTCATAAAAGGTTCGTTCAGTAAATCTTGGCATCAATGTTAAGACCATTATCGAACAAAATCCTGCCCAATAAGTGCGATAGATTACTATTTTCCACATCGTGTCGTACGTATGCGCTGAAAACCATTTGCACCATCAAACGTTGCACTCGGGTACTTTTCCAAAAGCTTGGGTTCCTCCCTCTATAACTGGAGTAAACTTGATATTAATAAATTATTAAGATTTGGTAGGAACGTTTTCTCTCGCTCCCTATCCACTAGGTCTAGCTCCAAGCGACTAACCTTATTCCGGTCTCTGCAGAACTCCATGGATCAAAAGGATCTACACCACTTAGATCAATTTTTGGCAAGAAACCTCAGAAGTTCCTGCATCAATTTTATTTGAAAATAATGAATAAACGAGACATTATGGAGTTAATAGAAAGATGGAAACAGGTCATACTATGTAATGGTCAATAGATTATAGATTAAAATAAACTTTATGTTGCAACAATTTATTTTCCAATCCGGTATTTCATTGAGATTCAATTACAATTTCAATACATCTATATGTATCTTATATATACATATATTGGTTTGATAAAAAATTAGATTTTATTTTGTATCATGTTGACTATGTTTTTAATTTTTTTTTTCAGATATATTCTTCAATATAACTTTGCGGAGGAAAACCCTATTTTACACAGTAAATCTGATTGTTCCATGCGTTGGAATTTCTTACCTATCAGTACTTGTCTTCTACCTACCGGCTGATTCTGGAGAAAAAATTGCCTTATGCATTACCATCCTCCTATCTCAAACGATGTTCTTCCTCCTCATATCTGAAATTATTCCTTCCACTTCCCTGGCCCTTCCTCTCTTAGGACGCTATATCTTGTTCACGATGCTTCTGGTAGGCCTCTGCGTAGTGATCACTATATTTGTCTTGAACATACACTACCGGAAGCCTAGCACTCACAAAATGGCACCTTGTGTTAGAAAAATATTCATAAGGTGCCTACCCAAACTCCTGTTGATGAGGGTTCCCGACCAATTACTAGCGGACCTAGCGACAAAGAAGAGGACTTCTTGGAGTCAACACAAGATCACGACGAGCATGGGTCTTGCTATTACTCCATCAGCAGGTTCTTCTCCGGAGTCATTGCGGCACTTCAGGCCGAATGGTCTTTACTCTACTTCGGCTTCTAATAGGTTGACACTTTTTCTTACACTTTGTTTTTATCATGTTGTATTTCAGGCATAATGTGAGTAATTCCTTTTAAGGCTCTCCGGTTTGATCGGAGCACTGGGTGGCAACGGCTATGCAGGTCTGCCATCCGTAGCAGGACTGGATGAGAGCTTGTCCGATGTGGCCATTAGGAAGAAGTATCCTTTCGAATTGGAAAAGGCCATACATAATGTCAAGTTTATTCAGCATCACACACAAAGGCAGGATGAATTCGATGCGGTATGCACATTATACACATATTAATAATGATGCATAACAATGTTTTCTTGCATCTTTGTAATTAAATAATCCTTGGATTGCCTACAGGAGGACCAGGATTGGGGGTTCGTAGCTATGGTCCTCGACAGGCTCTTCTTATGGATCTTCACGTTGGCTAACATTATAGGTACGATTGCAATCCTCTGCGAAGCTCCTTCACTCTACGACGATACCAAGCCGATAGACAAGGAAATATCACACGTTTACCAGGCGAAGTCATTCCCGCCTGGAACGCAAAATGCAGATTTCTAGCAGTTACCCTGGTAAAGGAAGTGATGCGGACAAGCGATGTTTTTACAATCAGGTTTTTATATTTTCTACTTTTTTTTTTACTGTTTTCGGAAAATTATTTCGTACAATGACAATCATTTATTTTCTTTTAAATGGAATATTATTTTATGTATATCCTGAATTTCTTTTAACCACCTTGATAATTCGAAATTACTATCTTTTTGTTTCAATCTTATTGAACAGTATAATTAAAATTAAGTTGATGAATTAACATCATTTGTGAATGTCACTTACCAATACCTTAATCGGATTAGAAATTCGGATTGATACAAAATAAAGTTATACGTAAAGAGTTTAATTAATTGGCGAAATGGTTAAATATAAAAAACCCAATCAATATAATCACGTGCGCATGATCAAAACTAGTGATGGCATGAATATATTTTATATTTTTATAGAAAGGTTTAGTATTCGCTTACAGCTGAGACGAAGTTAAGATTTAACGCAAGGATTTGCTTGAGTTTGTATTAAATACGAAATTACTACACATAAATAATTTTTAAAATTTCAATTGGCAGTTTTCAGTCAAATGAATTCGTTGAATTATTGTCAAACGAAATATACCATTTATCGGAAATTTAATAAACAGTGAAATTATTAACAATCGAAAAATTAACCAAAAGACAATTTCAACATACGGAATGTGTAAGACTGTGTTATCCAAGCGATGTTTGGATATCCATGCTTTGACAAATCGTATGTAGCAAGCAAAACTACGGAATTTGTGGAACCGGAGGATTTAATACTTCCAGAAGGCATTGAAGTTAAAGTTAAGACTCTTCGTGTGCCATCTCTAATAGTTCACAATACCATATAACCGTTTATAAATAAACCAATAACGATTATTGGACAATAACTTCCATACTGTGTTCGGTTCGACTTGAGTTTGAGACTGAAGGTTATAACTGAATTGACAATCGGAGTCATGAAAAACGTTTCATCAAAAGTAATAGGTCTGTTCCAATAACCAGCAACCGTAAACCAGCGCATGCGTACGTTTCCGTTCCTAAATCTGTAACCCGCATGCGTCTGCCAGTTTGCTGGTAGTTAAAACCCATATTGGGACATACATAATGTTTATTGGTAATGGTTAAGGTATTGCTATAATATAAAATATAAAGATTATTAAACTTACAAGGGAGGTCGCAATAAATGGGTTATCAATTTCAACCATTTTTTTTTTATACTACATCGAAAAATAATAGACACATGACGCCGGGGGCGTTCATTCCAACAGGCACTACTAGCTGAAAAAAAAAATATTTTATATAATTTAAAAAATATTGTACTAATTTTTTTGCCATTGCTTTGCCCGAATGTCTAGGTTATTATATACCGATCGTTATTTTTTTCAGAATTAAAAAAAATATTTTCTAAGGTATCAAATGAGTTATAACGTATTACTAAATTACTAAACCATAATATGTATCCATTAAATTAGGTAAATAAATTTTTGTTATGAAAAAGCAAGTTACGTTCGTTTATAGTATTCTTTAAAACTCTTAAATATTAATATTTATAGAAATATGAAAATACAAACTTTAGTACTTGATTTTCTTGGAGATTTTGTTTTCGGCCGTTAACTAAAGCTTTCATAACTCAGGGTTTACTCCAAATGGAGCGTTAATAAAAACGTTGGAAAGCAGAAATACTCCTCTTCCGACCCATTTAAATAACTTTTAGATTTTATTCCTTTATAAGGTAGGAATGAAGTGAAACTTCATTTTTCATTTTTTCATCTTTCATTTTATATCTTCCCTTCTAATTTGTTTACGAAGTTCTGGTCTGTGCAGTTTCGTACGGCTTACAGCGCTCTAAATCTCAGATACTATTTGAGTGAATTTGTGGAATTAATTACCGACATTTCTGTGATCAAAATTCACCTAGCATTCTTCATTAGAAGCCTCTTTTGTTTTGTTTTTGCAATTTATGATACGTTAGGACTCATTACATACCATCGACAATATAGTTTTCTTATTCAGTACAAACAAAATAATTTAAGCGGTACATAATAACCCATTATAACAAACGCTAGGACATGTCTAATACTTTTTCGATGCAGAATCACCCAATAAAAAATTTGGTTGAAATCGGTGCCCACTGAAAGTAGCCTTCTCTTGTCAGCATTATAATGCCTTGATACGTTAAAAAAAAAAAACATCAATTCCCTGATGTTTTATTGTAGCAAAGTTTATCTTTGTAAATAATTCTGTGATGTCCAGGTTAACTAAAAGTTTCTCGTGAATTAGGGAATAATAAATTATTCCATCAGAAATGTGTATTAACTGCCGCTCAAATTAGTTTTAATAAATTTGTGAAAATAAATTATTTCGTAGTGAATATTTAGAAATTATTTTAGAACTGATGAGAAAGATGACGTTACGTGTAATACTTAACCGTTATGATATCGTGTTAATGGGCATGAAATTATTGTAATTTTTATCGTTACTTAGGATAAATAATTAATACATTTTCGTAGTTGTAAGTAAATGTCCATTTGTTCATTTAAAAGTTAAGTATTTATAAGTGAAAACATTGTAAAAAGAGAACTGATTGTATATCTTAAGATCATTACGTTGTAATGTTTCTAATTTTTTTATATATTATATGCAGTTTTTATTATTATTATTTTTATTTTAAATCCTTGATGTTATAGATATGTCCTAATGTATAAAATTATGAATCTCTTTCACTTAATTCTAGATTTTATGAAATTATAACAGTATTCAAAATTATATTTTTCAGTCACTTATAGATTATTTTTTTTATTCCTTGCCGTTTATTCACTAATTTGTAATTTATCGGCTCCAATTATTTCATTATTTATTTTTGTATATCAAATATTTTAAAGGTAAATACGTAAGCAAATAGTATATGTAAATTTTATACACGATAAAATTTATTCATTAATATTTGAGATTATTGTGGATATTTTTATTGTTATTTTGAACTTAATGTGTTTATTTTTATTTTTCTCTTACTTATCTCCTATATTTATATGAAAGATAACTTAAAAGTAAATCTTGTTTACAATTTTTTAATCAATTAATTTATACACATAATTGTATATTTTATTTTATTTAATAACATTAATAATTTTGTTTTAATAAATGAAATAGTCCATTACAAATATGTGCTCTAAATGGTTCTAATCGCCATATTTTCGAAATAAATATTTAAATTTTTCTTAATTATTTTAAATATCAACACCAACTTAATAAAATTTAAGAGGAAAAATCGGTTTTAATTTTTAGTAAATTTAAGGTAAATGATGACGTTTTCTTTAGACCATAGGCTATAGTCAATGGCCTATATATAGCACCTCAAAGATTTTTTTTTTTGTAGTACATATACCTATAGGCTTGTACTGTAATATGTAAAGTATATGAAACATGTAATATAAATAAATAAACAGTCCTTTTGTAGGGATATTGTAGAAGCTAATTAGTTTTTGAATAATTGTTTTTAAATGTTTATTAAACTAATTAAGATAGATCATGTGGAATTAATAATTCCATGGTCACCGCCATCTTGTCTCTTCAATTCCATCGCAAACACGAACATTCGAGATGTTTGGCTGTAATATATTTTCTACATGTAAATAATTAATAATTTTTTAATAAAAACATTTGAGAGCATTGTTTTTTGTATATTTACAATAAATGTGTTATCCTGTTCTATTACAAATTAATTATTTTAGGAATAGTATTAATGAATATGCCCTTTGGAAAACCTATTGTTATAAATGTATTTGTTATGAAATAAAAAAAAAAGTTATCACTGTATGTACCTTTACAAATATATCCTAAATATGAGTTTCTTAATACTCATTAATAATTATTAGGTTTCAAATTGTGTTGAAAAGGATATTTATCATAAGTTGAACTTATTGCTTCATGGTAAGGTATTATGTTATAAATATATGTTAATAAACTTCCAAATTGCTGTGAGTAATTATTAATTAATAAATCATGTTTTCATGTTTTATGTTTTATCATCATTATTACCTACTTCGAATATTATTATTATATTTAATCAATATATGATTACTTTTGTACCGAAACCCCTTTTAATCTCACAATATTTTAATTTACACTTAAAACGTTTTCACATACATTCAAGAATTATTATTGAACTTTTCGGCTCCAAGAGACATTTTCAATTTGTTTTCTCTCTTTCAAAAACAAAACATCAGCCACAAAAAAAATTTATATATATATATATATATATATATAATACTACTCATATGGTAGTAATTGTTTAATTAAATATAAAATATTTTGTTTTATTTCTTCTCCCCATTTTATCAAAGCACCAGTCATCCTGCAATTTAACAAACCATTTATAATGCAATAATTTAAAACAAGCTTTTATAATTTTTTTTTCCAAAAACTATTTCATTAAAAAACTTGTATTGGGCAAACTTTATTTAATCACTGAAAAGCATGAGAAAAAAAGACATAAAAATAAAAATCTTTCTAATATTATCTTAACTTTGTTTTTGTGAGTTCTTGTTAACGGAACCAACTAAATTAGTCTGTCATCTGTATATGATGCTAATAGTTGTTTTGGTTAGGATATCTGATATTTTTTAAGTTTGATTCATCAAAGAGGAGATCAATGAAAACTGAAGTCTATATGAAAAATGTAATGAATGACTGCCATCAAAGATGAACGTGACATACCAATAGGTACTGTAAAAATAGTCAAGATCACCAGAGCACGCTATTCATAGATTCCCGATAATATCCGAATGTGTCTGGAAGATGACGAAGTGCTGTTTTAAGAGGAAATTTTTATTCAATTATAATAGACGATAGTAATTGTTAAAACATTAAAATAAATATAATTTGTAAGGATTCCTTTCTGATAATCTTATTATTATGTACAATAATTACTAGTTTGTTATTATCATTAAAATTCTCTGGGAATCGTACAATTTTATTAGACGTATTTTCTTTATATGTTTCCTCCGTTTTGCATTTGTGCTTATCTACTAGCGGTGAGGGAGAATTTCAAATAAATTTTAATATATTTATTTTAATTACATATTTTTTCTACAGGTGTTTAATTCATTACTCGTATTTTCCTCTATTTATCAGTGGAGAAAGAGGTGAAAATTTCATCACGTATTTTAGCATTTTGCGTTGAAGGCAAAGGAACTATATGTCAATTTATTTTTTTAGCAGAAGTTATTTTCCTAATAACTTGTTTTATTATTTTACATATTTATGTATTAAAAAGATGTAAATAATACCTATCTTAATTTAAACAACTCTATTAAGTCAAGGCAGTTATTATTTAGGAAGTAAACAGGAATCAATATTCGGCTACTTTCGGAATGCGTTGGAGAATCTGAGAATAGCGTGTTCTGTGTGATCTTGTTCTGGTCGCCATTTCACAGCAGCGGATGTAACCTTGATTGATGGATGTAACCTCAACGTTATTTCGCAATCTATTTTACATAGTTATATCTATTTATTTATGTTTTGAGATTCAATAATTCATTAAGGTAGGTATTTCATTTTCATTTTTCATGTGTTTTTTTAACCTTCTGCTGGAATCCATCGGATCATTTCTAAACTCCTAAAAAATCCTTGTCTGTCACTGCAGAATACAATTGATTGATGGAATCAGCACTAAGTTAAAGAACTTGCCCTCCATTTTTTTTTTTCTTTGCTATTTATAATTATATATTCCATTTTGGCATTATTCCTGGATCTATTATAGGATATTCATTTCTTAAATAAATGTATAATGTATTGCAGTTGGTTTCTTTCTTTTCATTTTAGTATTTTTTTTTTTTTTTTTTTTGCTCTATACATCTCTTTCTCGCTCCTTATTATTTATTTAACTTACATTTCTAATAACTTGGTTCAATGAAAATATATACTTATAGTTCAACATTTAATTGCAGTTCATTGGTACCTATATCGAGTTCATCATTTTTCCACTAGTTCTTATTTTATCTAGTTTTAAATAGTTGTTTCTAAATATTATATTGTTTCTAATCGTTTGCCAAATATTGTTTTTAAAATAATAAATTTTAACTTATGAAAATATCATCTTTTGTCTACTTACTGTCAGGAAGAAGACAACAAAAGAGAAAACAAATAATTAATGACAAATATTACCATGATTAAATAAAATAAAGAGAGTTTCAACATAATTTTTTAAACTCCATGAAAATAAGTTCAAAAATATTAAGCAAAAAATACAACTATATAGAATAAAATATGAATTAAATCAATCATGATATTATTTTAAATAGGAAATTTTAGACTGTTTTATACGTTCATAGATTAGGATTTTTTTTTTACCATTGAGTCTATAATAATTTTACAACTTTATTTTCAGAGTAGCTTTCGGTATCCATACACCATATTCATATCTATCATTATAACACATCAAGTAGAATACATCAAGAATAAAATTAATGACATTAACAATTAATTTATTGCATAATTTTTAATTGTTTAATTAATCATTTTTAACTGAAAGCTACTCTGCAAATAAATTCGTAAAAATATTATAGAGACTGTCAGTGGTAATAAAATCCTGATCTACTATGATATTATTGTATTAAAGTTCATAAATTTCCACAGGTGAATACTTTTTCTTTAACAAAATTATAACATGATCTCCGTTTGCCATAAAATAAAAATCATGCAGTAAATGTCAGCGCTGTAACGTGAGTACATTTATTAAGTTTAATTCTTGACTTTTACAGTTATGCTCAGTGACAGCTGAAAACAACTTTATGAATCTGAAAATAACTGAAATAGTTAGCACATAATACTCAAAGTACAAAATGCATAAAATTAAAAAATGAACAGATTTATTCCAGTTTTAATGGCAAATTTAAGATGATAATGATAAATTTCTCTCAAAATAAATGCTATGATATCCTAATTAATAATCATGATAAATTTGGGTTATAGTTTTAGATCATAGTATATTTAATAGTATTAAATTAAGATGTCTATTTTGCAAAATAAAGGTCTAATGATTTTCCAACAATATTCCTTGATACCTTTTCATATTATTTTATTTAATTCATTGTATTAACAAATTTAATTTTATACAAACTTTTTAAAGAAAATATGGGATACAGGAGTGGGGTAGCTCGGTGGTAAGGCACTTATCTTCCAATGCTCAACGTCCCAGGTTCGGATCCTGGCTCCTGGCAAAAAATTATTTATTCTGTTTCATCAGCTATGGGCCAAGGGCGACCTTCGGGTCAGGGGATTCCCCTCTCCTCTCCCTAGGGACACCCAGCTACTATAAAATGGGTACCCATAATTAAATAATTAACTGAGGGGGAAAATTTGGGGGTTGATCATGATCTCAGTCAAATCATCTCCTTGCATAACTGTTGACTAAGAAACAGTACTTTCCTTAAATAGTACTAGGCCCAAGACCCTTCATGGGTTGTTGTGGACGGGTTTTTTCTTTTTTCAATGAAAATAAATTTGAATATAAATAGTATTATTAAATTGCAATATAAATATCTTATTTTATATTTTATTATAAAAAACAATGTTTATTTTAATAAGCTTTGTTTTAATTCAACCACTTTTTTTTTAACTTTATTTTAAAAATACCCCAAGCCTGTTGGCTCATTTTCTAGTTCATTATCCTTATTTGTTTTATATTTTCATACATACATTATCAGCGAAATTCTCATTTTCAAAAATTAATGCTAAATTTTTCATTGTAGTGATATTTTTCAATAACTGCCGTACAGCAAGAGACCAGGAAAGGCCCCCAAAAAAATATTAAAATAAAAGGATTTAATTTCTCATGAAAAATTTGTCGTATTATTCCTTGCCAAATATATTTATTTATTATTTATATAAAAATAGTACTTTTTTTTTTAATCTTATAGTACTTTCTTTTTTTCATAATTTAAAAATTATGAAATGATTGTTTTTCTGAACATATTAAAAGTTAGAAATGTTTTCAGCTTCTTCTATAGTTATTATAATATACTAATTATTATAATTAAACATTAATTATTATAACTATAATAATCTTTAAAGGAGGTTAGTCGACTATTCTACATATCATGGGTAAAAGATAAATATCCCGGACGCAGTCATTATAAAGTTTTTATTAGTGTCGAGGTTTTAACCTAAACATGTGGGTCATCATCAGGGCGTTCCGAGCACTGAAGGTATTCACTTGAATATTTATCACCCATGATATAATAATCTTTGAGTGACGACATCAACATCGAACAGGTTCATATTTGTTGCTTTAAGATGGAGCTGACGACATGCACAATATATTTTTAAAAATAGGTTTTATAATCCAATGATGAACTCATTTTTCTTGTAAGACTATGCAACCATTCAATAACACGAGTAACTATTGGCTGACCATTACTTCATGAATTAATTGGCGATTGTTTAGTAAAAGTATCACTATAATAGTGAAATTTAATTTTTGTAATTATATACACCGCTAAAATTAGAGCATAAGTAACTGTTACCAGTCTAACAAGGTTATGGAAATTTATGTGATTTACTTCAAAACGGGAGGTATAGTTTTGGACTAAATTAGCAACATACACCACCCACCATGTAAAACCAGTTATCAAAGTCATATATTCTATATATTAATAGCTTTATTTACCAGATAGTATAACTGTATTTTATTTTATTTATAACATAAATTTCAAAACATGACAAAGGAGCACACCAGACTTTTAAGTAATTATATGTAACAGCACAACTTTTAACATGCATTCTTTTTTTAATTACCTCTTTTCTCACCATGAATTGCTTTGTAAATATGAGATTTTAAGTTTTGAAGATGAGAATAATTTTTCTGAAACGTCAACTTAAAATGTAAATCAACAAATAAAGCAATTAATTAACTCTTTTCTTGCCGTGAATTGCTTTGTAAATATGGGACTTTAAGTTTTGAAGATGAGAATAATTTTCCCAAAACGTCAACTTAAAATGTAAATCAACAAATAAAGCAATTGTATATCTGGAAGTTTTTATCGATGAAAATAGAGCTTTATTTACTTTACTGTATAGTTATAAAATCTTTTATACAATATTTACCTTTTTCACACAAAAAAGTCTATAAAGTAGCCTAGGCATTAATTTACAGACATTGGATGCAATATTTCATTTAAATTTTTTTTTAAAAATTGAGAAATAAAAAGCTTGTATTAAGGGTTTATAACAGTTCAAGGCTTGCAAGGCTCAATTCTGAGCGAAGATAATAATTAATTAGTTCATATTTGAAAATAAAGCGAAATAATTAAATCTCAACTGTTCACTCTGTGTAAACAAGAGAAAAATATTTTTCTTATGCAATCAATACAATTAATATTTTTAAAAAATATGTCTCTCACGTTGAGAAATGTGGAAAAACTAATGGGAATCTTAAATCTCAAATGCACGATAAATCAATTAAACCTGACAGAAAACCATTTGTCTCGAATGTGAAAAAACAAAAAGAAATAAATAAATATAAACTTCTTTAAAATTAATGGACAGCCATAGCAGTTCGAATTTCGAAAAACTAACTATAAAAAAAGGACAATACATAAAACTAAATCACTAAACTAAAAAACTAAGACATTAAATAAAAATAAAAGCACCAGTCCATTGATATTCTACACTATCATTAGTGCTGGTTATTTAAATGAAACTTTTTAAAATTGTTTAGTACACACCAAATTTAATAAAAAAATTCAAGTAGAATAAATTTAGAGCATAAATAAAAGTAAGAAATCCCAAAGATACTATTTGTCAACAAGGTTAGGTGATAAGAAGTCTAGAAAAAAAAAAATTAAACTTACAGAACACTCTTAAAGATAATGTGAAAAAAATTATCTTAACAAACTCGATGAAATTAAAAGATTTAAACCGAAGAACATGCAGATCTCAAAACTAATACTTTGTATTTAAAGATTAAACAATTAAATCAGGAATTAAATTGAAAATAAGTTTAAAAATATAAAACAATATTATTTTTATTTACTGATTTTTATCCTAAAATGCAATACATTGTTTGAAAACTTCAGACTTTGATAACACTTAGTCAGTGTTTTTTTTTCCTTTAATAAAAATCGCAAAAGATTTTATAATCTGTAAAACCTACGAAAGAAGCATGGGGGCAGGTTAAGAATAAATAAGAGAAACTTCAGCACATTTTAATATTAATTTATTTGTATCACATTAAATAGTTCAAAGATAATAAAGGAATGACTGTACATTAATTCACTGACTAATTGGTAACATTGCAATATATTTTCTTTATTGTAGCGAGAAGAGGTAGTATGCATTTACACTAAAACCAAGAGCTGCGGCACAAGCAATGAAGGTAGCGCCATACAAAACATTGTCCAGAGTTCCACCTTTCTTGAAAACAGGGGTTGAGTCCTCAATACCAAATTTATCTTTTAATACACCAGTTTTGGCATATCCAGGATAAACATTAGAAGCTGAAGAGCTCCTGTTTCTAACACCTCTCAAGACTGATAAGCCTACTCGTGAAAGACTCATGGTACCCTGTTAAAAATTAAAGTTGATAATGATACTATTAAATATTGCGTTAAAATTTCATTAAGAATACAGTAGTAAAGAAAACTATTTGTTAGGGGAAACACTCTTGATTGGCTAAACTAAAAAAGAATTATCGTAAATTCACCTATTTTTCATTAATTCTTAATAAAATTTTTCATAACACTTGATTCATAAAGAATTTAAATAACAATTGGTTTTTCCAATACATTAATGTTAAAATGTTTACTTATTAATTTACCGAAATCAAAAATGACATCAATGGCTCATTTTCAAATAACAAACGTCAATATTGGTTTATAAGTGGATCAAGATCATATCAATCAAACTATAGATGGAATTCTATAAGTAGTAGAATGTTGACAACAGCGTTTACAGGTGGACTTGCTATAATCCCACAAACAAACCAAAGGTCTTTTACCATTTAAAAATGATATCTCTGTTAAGTTTCAGACACACTTGGCTGCTTTCTATATACAATATAAACGATAAGATCTTGGCGAACCAATAAACCAAAACTGACAATTGTTAATTGATATTATCATTACGATTTAGGATTATTATTTCTGTGACTATTTTTACCATGTTCCATCACATGACATTTTGTATAAAGTGACGATGATTTTATAATAATAAAACACAAGTTAATTTTAAATTAATAAAACATGTCCCTTCTTACTCAGTCATCTTTACTTCATTACCATTATTACTTATTCTCACGTTATGTTTTTTTATCTTGAAATATTTTAAAAGCTTCCTTCACTGTTGAGATCCACAGAGAAATCTACTATGTTATAATAACAATGTTTTATGAGTTCAAATACTGATTATTATAATTAATAATAGTCACTGCCACTACGAATAACAAATCATGGGATGGAGCATTGTATAAAACAGTAATTTTAAATTTTAAGCTTAGATCTTACATACAATAAATAGTTAACTTTTTCTACTTGATGGTTTATCATTTCCTATTGGAAAAACAGAATCTTAATGACTATAATTTAAATATTCAAAATTTTCCGTCTCAACTGAACACTTCGGACTTGTCAAGTTACACAGTTTAACATAATTGTCGACAATTGATAATCTTATTGGTGTAAAAACTTGATTGAACTGTTACATTTGTTCCATACAAATTACTACTGCTGTAACGTAACAATGATGTAAACGCATGCAATGTAAACTTTGAATATCAGTTCATTGTAAGTGGTAATCTACTTCAAATTAATTTGACAAAAAGGACACTGAAAGAGAATTATACTTCAAAGAGCCTCAACAACATACTAGATTTTTACTTAACAAAATTATTAAAATAACAAATAAAGTCAAAAGTAAGAAAATTTCCCTAAAATTCTTCAGGTTAGTAAAGTATTAGTAACTTCACCATTTTATAACTAAGGTTTTAGCTACAGAAACGTAATTCTGTTAATGGTGAAGGACGAGAAACAAAATCCGTATTTAATTTAACAATTAGTCTTTCATAAATTAAGTAATAAGTAACTAAATATTACAGAATAAGAATAGGTTATCCTGCATTATCAGTTTTAGGGTGGAGTTCAAACATAACTATTTATCCTACCTATTTTTGCAAACAATCAATATATTTTTAGCAACTAAGCGTTAATATTATACTTTGGCAAAAGATTACAGGCTAAATATAAAAATAAAGGAGATAAAAATACTAACGTAAAGAACTTGGCAGACGAACAAATATGGCGACACTCACTAAAATGGCTACGAATCGTTGCTATATATCGATATCAGTATTGTTTAATATTAATATATATTTATACAGAAGAACAGTGACTATTTTATTTAAAATACCTAGAATAAATAAATACTACATCTATTGTTACAATATATTTAAATTAAATTATTTTTAATTTAAAGAACAGTGAAAAACACTTTTTTCGAATTGAGAGGCAGTGGAAGAGCTAGTGTCAGTAAAAACGGTCTTCAACGAGTTATACATTTTTTAAACTAATATAAATGTCTTAAAACAAATTTTACTAATATATTTACCGCATTTGGTTTTTCAAATTTCAAAGATTTTAGTTAACGTAAATGATATTTATTAGTGTTATTTTTACTATAAATTTATATTATAATTAACTTTATCGTTTTCCCATGTTACTGAAAATATCTCAAGCAAATTCGTTATGTTTCATACATAAAGTTTATTATTCGTATACTGGCATTTAATGATGTGAATAGAATGAAAGAAACGACACAGAAGCCAGTAAGTTATATTAATTACTTATTGTAACTAGTAAGGAATACTAATATAAAATTGAAAGTATATTCATATTTAGTACATACACAATTGTTAATAATCTTACAACTAGCTACATGAGATGTGTGAAGTATTTTTGAATAATGTATAAAAAACAATAAAATCGTAGTGCCACTATCTTTAGTTTTCATTCAGTAACTTCCTAAGAAAGTAAAATAGATAAGCAAGGAACTTGGAAATTGTTTGTAAAATAAAATAAATATCATTTTAACAATTTTACATGTTAACTCTAACATAACATATAATAATTTTTCCTTAAACATAGTTCGAAATAATAAAATGTAGATAATATTTTGGAGTCGGATTATTCGAAGCTGTTACTAGACGGAACCTTTTAATAACTTCTGTCCCAACTTAGTTACATAGTTACATTTAGTGTATCGGTTATATACTGATCTATCTCTCAGACAAAAATAAAGTTTAAATTTTTTGATAAACTTATGTGGTATAAAAATACTTTTTAAACATCGTTTAATTATACCAATATTTTTGGTACTTTAATTATTCAAATAGTTTCAGTTTTTATATTACATACTTTTCTATATTTGTATTTTAGAATAAATTGTCTAATTATAATAAATTGTGTTGTAGCGATTGTGATGTCTTCATCACTTGGAAACGAAATGTTACTTTCTGTTGAAGGTGAGTAATTTTTAAAAATAATTTATTTATATCTATTAGTTATGAAATAAGTAATGTTCCTATACTGTAACACGATCGTATTTTCTATAAATCCATTTTTAAGCCATCCACATGGTCTCTTGCTTACATTGAGGCATTCATAGTGTTGATACTTTCTGATACATTTTCCCATCTTAACCTCCTTGTCTTCATATCATGAAATATTATGATACTTTCGGTAAGCTGTTCCTTAGTGGTCATTTTATTCCACGTGTTGCTACTCCATTCCTGTCTGCAGAGCTGCACATCTTCCTCCTCCCCCATCAAGGTCGATGGCTCAAGAATCTATTACCCTCACTCCTAGATATTTCATTGCTCCCCTTTCCATAAAAACAAAGCAAGCGAAGGCGTAATTTAAAAAAAATGTAGATCATATACAATTACACTTGTTGCGTTCTGTCCTATGTTTCCCCTTGTTCCTTAGTATGAAACTTTTCATTCTTGAAATTCAAAATATATGCTCTCTTAAAAATTCAAAAACCCGCTAAAATATGGCCCCTTCAAAAATTTTGATGGCGCAATTTGCGTTCAGGGCAACACCTACAGGGTTTCTAATCTTCAGCGATTTTTTCAAACTATAAAACTAAGTAAATAGCGGGATATGCTAGAATATTCGAGCACAAGAGAGATTCCTACTTCAAATGAGTGCATTTCACCAGCTACAAACTATTCCCAACACTATCTGTTTAAATAAAAACCTAAATGTTCGTTTGTTCAAAACCGCTAATCTCCGAAACTTCTTCACCGATCGCTTTGAAATATTGACATAATGTTTCTATCGCATTCAGGAATATTTTTATATACATTTAATCTCTCTTCGGCCCAAAAACCTGTGTCGCTATAACTGTAGCGCCTAAACGGCTGTAACGATTTTAATTAAACTTGGCTAAAGTATTCTCCTTGAAGCCCTCTTAATTTATGTATATAACATCCTTCCCCGAAAAGAGTTTGAAAAAAAATTTACGATGGGTTCTAAACTATATTTGCGAATAACTCTTAAAGCACACAATTTTTACCCATCATTATTTGAAAGATTTCTTGATTCCCTGCAAATAAAAAAAAAATCACTAAAATCTGACGATTTAGTGCAGAGATATAAACATTTAGTATTTTTTCGTGGGAGATTTAGAGACCGATTGCTTCTTATATAGATAATTATATTTAGCAAATTCTATAATCGGAAAACCAGACAATCTCTGTATCTATACAAAGAATGAAACAACAAAGAATACCGCATATTCACTAGTATTGTTACATAAAATATTTTAGAAACATCTCACTTGCTGCATTATCTTTTTTTTTGTTATTACTACTTTTTTTTTATGCTATCATTTCTTCTCCTTGATATCATATTTGTTGAATACCGAGGTAGATGGCAAATTTATTGTGAACCAGGAATATGTATAACTAGTAAATAAATAAATAGAAACATCTAATTTCTTTTCTACTTCTTTTTTTATTTAACTAGAATGAGCCACAGCAACGCGTGGACGGGTACCGCTAGTTCTTCAATAACTTTTATAATTTTTCCATCCGCTTCACCCAATCACAAAAAAAAAAAAAAAAAAAAAAAAAAAAAAAAAAAAAAAAAATGAAATTAATGAAATACTTCCAGAACAAGGAGCTACATAGTCGAGAATTATTCGTTATGTGACAAGTTTTTTTTTTTTTTTTTTGTTTTATGTGGATTTTTTTTTATAACTAAGCAATTTTATTATGAACTTAAATTGGTGTAAAATATTGAACTATCTACAAATTATCAAGGTATTTTGTTATTGTTTCAGTATTTTTATTTCACAATGCGGTAGTATAGAACAATAAGAAACTTTTTTTTTTCAAAGAGAAAATATAGAGGAAATCACTCGGAATGGCGGTTTCCGATATTTAGGATAAGAGCCGCATTGACTTAGACGTAGTGCTCCAGGATTCGCGGCACGATCGGCCAATAACAAACGGGCAGATGCCGTAGGACCAATCAGCGACAAGGACGTAACCTCCAAGAAGGAGTTCAATTTTCTACGGGCCAAGAATTCTAAAACCGTGTAAGGCCCGCATAAACATAATAGCCAATTAGCAGCTGTTCGAGTTTTCCCTAGTTCTATTTCCCCAAACTAGGAATGGGTTCGCTGTAGTTTACCGATGGGAGGAACCGAGTTTAATTTTTTTTTTGAGAAATACTTTTCTTTTTATAGATCATGAGGGTGAGGAAGTATACTGATCAGCAATGAATAAGAATGTTATTTCTCTAGAATTATTATTATAAAATACATTGAAAATTAATATAAACTAGAATCAGCCCCCAGAGTTTGGCTGAAACACTCTGTATACTTGTGTATTTATTTTAATTTCTGCTTATGTAATCGGAGCCATAATTTATCATAATTTTTATTTCCATTATTTTATTTAAGTGGCATAATCCCAGAATAATGGTTCTATACTGTTCTATAATGATTTCGAGAAAATCCAAAATATTCTATTCTTGTATTGAAATGAAATATATTTCAAAGGAAGGAGACGGTCCGGAGTTGCGGTCATAAATAGGCTAAATAGTGGTAAAACTATTTTATTGATAATAAAATAAAAATTAATAAAATAAAATAGTTTTACCCCTATTTAGCCTATTTATGACCGCAGACCCGGACCATCTCCTTCCTTTATAATGCAACGGTCAACTTTTAAATATTCGAAATATATTTTATTATTCTGTGACTTTTGTCCCTTTACAACAAATTATAAGTGCAGAATACATGAATGTGTGGTCATAAATAAAGTAAATATTTACAGTATTAGTTAATTGTAAGTAAAATTACAGAAGAAGAGAGAGAAAAAGACATGAAAAGCGTACATATATATAATACAATCAGAGAAAACTAAAATAATAGAAATATTTTCTGGGGGTACTTAGATAGCTCTCTTAGGTATATTTCGTAATCAGGCGGATTGAGAAAGGAGTGGGTGTTTAAAGAGGAAATTGATTATGCATGTCGCAGATCAGCAGGGATGGAATTCCGGAGGGAGCCGGCTTGAATTGCAAATGCTTTGTCAAACGCTGCAGTTCGGTGAGGAGAAGGATAGAGGTCAGAAGTACGAGATTTAGTGGGACGGGATTAGATTGCGTATTTAAATTGTAAGCTATGAAAAATATAGGAAGGTCGATTAGTTCTAATGACCTGATACAGAAAAGTAGGTAGAAAGGATAGGAAGAAAGTATTGACGGAGATGGATAGAGCCACTTCAACTCGGTGTAATACTGGATAATATGCGTATCTCTTGAGATTCCGAAAACTAAACGTAATGCACAATCGATTAAGCGTTTAAGTCTGGTCTGGAAATCTACCGAGAGTCCACCGTATACCATACAGCTATAGTCGAAGTGGGGGAAAACTAAAGAGGAAACTAGGAGTTGACGGTTGAACTTATATGGAAGGAGATAACGTCGGTGATTGAACTGTTTTAGGGTGGAGATAGTGCGACGGAAATTTTGGAAGATGTGTGCTTTCCAGGAGAGGATTTGATCAAAAGTAACACCTAGGTTTTTAACGGTAGTATGGAATAAGATAGGTGAGTTGTTCAGGAGAAGATTGGGGGATATCGGGAAGTATTTTAGGTAGTGTTGCCCAAAATCGGTCTTGGACCAAGGCCGCTTAACTGTTGCAAGACCAAGACCAGGAATGGTAAAAAAAAATCAATTTTTTAAATAAAAATTACGACAATAGTTACTTATACTTGACAATCTTAATCACTATAGGTTAATAATGGGTATAACCAATATACTTTTGCATTG